CAGACTTCAAATAATGTGACCACACTGAAGTTGGGTCTTTATCTTTTTTGTGTAGAAAAAATGATGTTCCCTTTTCACTGTTTTCATTCATGTTTAGAAGGATATTTTTTTAAGGTGCATTAGTAAACAACATATTATTGCGGTAAACAACAAAAGCATTAAAAAGGTTATCAGTTCAAAAGGTTCAAAACGATTCATTCCACAGTCAAATTTTGTATGTATTCACACTAGAATTCCTTCAAGCGGAGTTAATTGTCAAGGGCATTATAATGTTGCAATAACTAATAATTGTACAAATATAATTATACAAATCGTTAGAAATATCCCAAATTGAATTGTTATGTAGTAATCATTAAATTTTTTTAGATATAATTTTTTTTTTATTACTTGTTCATTTATATTTTTTTCTTTCTCTAAAAATATTTTTTGAAATGAATAAAACGACTTAATAAACTCAAGCAATCACTTAACCACAAATTCGCTCAACAATTTTAAAATTTATCTTTTTAACGCGAGAAGTCTTGCCAACAAACTTAACGATTGTTTTTTACACAATAGTCGAACAAACCTGCCTTAATTTGTGTTTGTGAAACTTTTTTCAATGATAAAATCCCGAACTCCATGGTCTATTCAAAAATTTGTTCCATTTATCGTAAGGATAAAGCATAAACAGGATAAACCTGCAAAGCAGCATTATATAACTCGTTATAATTCAGTATAGTTACCAACTTTGAACATTTTATTTTACAAAATAATTTAATTAGTTCAATCCTGCTATAATCCCGAAAATCCCGGGATTTTGTGTTTAGAATCCCGGGATTTTTGGGACCCAAAAACGTCCGGGATCCCGGGATCTCGGGATCCGGGATCCCGGGATTGCAATCCCTAACACAAACACACACACACACAACACACACACAAACGTAGAGTTAGAAATAATGCTGATTAAATTAAAGCTATTGAGTTGAGAAAACTTCATTCGAAAAATTAGCAATCATGAAAAAAAAGATCACAAACTGTTTTATACTTAAAATAAGGAAGAAATTAAGCAAAGTCCTAAAATTTATTCTGATAGTTTACAAGTCATTATCAAATGACAAGAAAGCAAAGTGCATTGTAACTACATACGTAACATGCCACGATTTTATTAATACATCAAACTTTTCATTATTACTGTTATTTTTATTTACAAATAATGTTTTAACTAGTTAAAAAAATAGTTAGTTATTTGAATTACTTAAAACTAGTTTTGAATAATTCAAATAACTAATTATTTTTCTTATTTAATAATTAATTTATGTATATTTTTTATTTATAAATAGATACAAATAAATATAATGTCCCGACGGGCATTTTTTTTTAAAGTTACGATCTAAATGTATTTTAAATGTCTTTTAAACGTCTTTTAAACATTAATGTTTAAAAGACGTTTAAAAGACATTTAAAACACATTTAGAACGTAACTTTTAAAAATAAATGCCCGTCGGGGTAAATGATAGTTATACGTTACCGAAGTAAATAAATGTGAGTAACAAGGACAAACAACTTTTAGCATTGTTTAGTAAGGTGTGGTCTACTTTTTTTTCCTGGCATTTAATATTTAGATATCCTTAGTTCAATCTTTTTCTTGTTCTTACATATTTTATTGACGGGGAGTGATACTTTCATTTTGGAGCTTTCATCATCATTTTCAAGGTAGAATTAGATATCTATTTCAATTTGGTCTTCTTTGAAAGTTTCTATTGAGAAACTGTTTTTGTAAAATTTTTATATGTAGTCAGTTAAGAGTTAACATTAATAAACCCTTTAATCTAATTATATAATTTTTGAATACATTTTATTTTTTTAAGGGGGTTCCTTTATCTTCTGAGGTTCTCTGTTACTATTAAAAGACTTGGTTTTGGTTTTGCCACAATTTAAAAACAAAGTTGCTAATTAGTTTTTTAAGTGTTCAAAAAAAAAAGTTACAAGGTGAAACATATTAATGAAAAAATATTTACGTTCAGTTAACAAGCATGATATTAGATGCGATAACCATACATGGTATCAAACTATTGGCTTTCTTGTTTAGGTGTCAATTTAGGGATAAATTAAGTTTGGGTTTAAAATTAACTTTCTAAATTAAATAAACTGAAAATAAAAAAATAAAAACAAACTTGAGTAGTAGTCAATAAAGTAAACATTTTCCAACCAATAAAACCCAATCAAGGACACTTCTTCTTTAATCAATTTAATTGCCAATAATTTGAAATAATAAGTAATAATAATTGATATAATTTACTAACATTGTTCATTTTAATGTCATACTAAAAAGTTTTTTGATAAACATGCTCCCTTGATAAGAACAGAAGAAAATAAAAAAAACTTATAAACGATTGAGACAAACCTTTAAGAAGGTTTTGAAAACCTAAAAAGATGAAAAAAATCAACATTTAAACGTCTAAGAAATTGTGTTAGCATAGCAGTCAAAAGATTACGAGCCATATACCACTAAAATGCTGCAAATACCACCACAAAGCTACGAATAAAAAATGTTTAAAACGGAGCAGTTTGGATAACAGACAAAATATTATTATTAGTTTAACATCAACTGACAAAGAAAGTACAATCAACACTAAAGCTACACTTTTGATACAGCAGTAGAAAAACTAAAGAGAAATTAAAAGAACTAAGTTAGAATAAAAAAAAATTATTCTTTCAGAACAGTGAACTACTTCAAATTCTTGGAAGTATGTAAAACTTTTGTTGAAAAATAAATTAAATCACTGAAAATAAGGAAACTTATAGGTCCAGATAATCTCCCCCCTCTGTTATTCAAAAATTGAGCACAACCAGTACCCCAACAAGTGACTCATCTCAACTTTTTTTTAGAATTATTTTTCACCAACGCAATCAAAGGAAGAAAAAATGATGTCTGTTTATAAATCTGGTTCAACACGAACGCCAAAAAACTTTGGACTGAGCAAAAAACTTTGGACTAATCTGAGCTTCGGAACACTTCAAACACTTCGGAAGTTTTTTGTTTTAATTTTAAGTTTTTAAGTCTTTACAAAAATTTAAAAAATTTTTTTAATAATTTTACTATTAACACTCATAAGGTTAGAACGAGAAATCTAAATTCTCTCGTGTGCTTTCACATGTGAAATTAGAACTCGCAAAGAAAGGTTTTTAATATATTTTAATATAGGTGCAAAACTCTTGATCTGATCTGTAAAGTTAGAACAGTTATCAACTTCAAAATCTTTACAGTTACCAACTTCAAAATCTTTACAGTTACCAACTTCAAAATCTTTACAGTTACCAACTTCAAAATCTTTACAGTTACCAACTTCAAAATCTTTACAGTTACCAACTTCAAAATCTTTACAGTTACCAACTTCAAAATCTTTACAGTTACCAACTTCAAAATCTTTACAGTTACCAACTTCAAAATCTTTACAGTTACCAACTTCAAAATCTTTACAGTTACCAACTTCAAAATCACAACTTTACAGTTACAATCTTCAAAATCAAAATAACATTCTAAAAGTTATCTTATGTTCTACTCATTTTAGTTTTGATATTTAGTAAATAAATAATAAATTAATAGCAATTTTATGTTAAATTAAAGTCTAAATTTTATGTTGGTGAAATATCCATTTAATAAATATATAAATAAATAATAAATATTATTTAATAAATGTTGTGCATCAAACGGCCGAATGAGCATCTCTTTATATAAATGCTCAACTTAATAGTACTAGTCAATGATATATTATATAAACTAGAAAGTTTATATAATATATATTATATAAACTAGATAGTTTATATAATATTAACTAGAAAAAAGCGGCTTTATTTTTTGTTTAATAAAATCCTGCAAGCTAGACTTGCAGGATTTTATTGGACAAAAAATGAAGCCGCTTTTTTTTTTTGTTTATAACAATATTCCGCCATTTGTAAAAAGGGCAACAGCCGAAGCCGATGGTGGAATAAAAGTTAAAAATGCAAGTCAAAAGATCCTAATAAATTAAAGATAATTTAAAAACACGTTTCAATAATTATAAAATACTTATAGAAGTTTTTTTATGAGCCAGTGTTTTAAAAAAGTATTTTAATTCATAAAAATGAATCAAACTAGTATGACGTTTTACCTTTCTATTCAAAACATTAAACCCTTTTTAATCTAAAAATAAATTAAGAAATCATAAATTATTTTTTTACAAGTATTCAAATTTCCTCTTAACATTTTTGCATAAATAGTATTTAAATATAAAATATATTTACTTCATTTAAGCAAAGAAGCCTTTTTTTTTACCACTTAACTTGCACCCCGTCGCTTAAGCCTTTTTTTTACCACTTAACTTGCACCCCGTCATTTGAAACCATTTTATTTGACATAAAATGCAAAATAGTGTTGTAATAGCTCATTTGAAAGATAATACTTGATTTTATTAAATTATGCAATAAAAATATAGGTTTTAAAGTAAACATCTATTCTATGCCTAATAGTAACATAAAAAATACTGTCAAGTTAAAAAAGCTTTTTACTCTACAGCTTAGAAGCATATGACATAATAATTATACAAAAATATGTACATTTTAGAAAAGTTGAATGATTAAGCTATAAAATGGTATATAATAATGTAATTTTTAATATTGTATTTTTTTTACTTTTGTCTACAGCCTGGCCCACTGTACAATGGTACTAGTAGTGCCCTTTTAAACGTGTTTGACACGGAACTCTAGGCAGCCATTGCAACCGAATAATAGTGAAAAAGAGTCGCAAGAAAGAGTCGTTTTTTCTTGAAAATTTCCTCAAAAGTAAAAAAAGAAATTATCCAAATGGAAAATTGTTTTAAGTTGATTTAATAGCGGGAAAATAATTTGAAATAATTTTTAACAAAAAACGTTTTTTGCTCGACATTTTTAAACATCCTAAATATCTTTTTTGAATTAATTAAATACAATATATAAAAAGAATAACTGAAAAATTTATTAAGAATAATGTTTATTGAAATATTTAAGAAAGCATAACTTTTTTTAAATCAGTAGCTTCAACTGTGTGGCCTGTATGGCCAGCACCATGATATGCTGGATAGCCATTTGTTTGAAGAGTATCTCCAAACGCATAAATACTGTAAACTTTTGTTTCAAGTGAAGTCATGAAGTCTTTTATATCTTTCACTCCAGCTTTTCTACTGTATTTACAAATAATACCTCCTTTTGTTTTCATACCTGTTGGATTAAAAATTGCACTTGTAGTTGCTTTAAAATCAGGTAATCCGTTTTTTGTGGCACTCAGACTTACCAATTGAACAATACCATTTTTTTCAACGCACGCTTCACCTTTCATTCCAGTCTAAAAAGATGTGACGTAAATATACTTCTAAGAAACTTAAAATATAACTTAAAAATGAATTAACATAACGTATGTACCATTATTTCCTTGTTAAGTTCCTTTCCTTGAGCAAAAGCTCCCCATTTGTGCTTGGTGAAGATAGATATGTCGAAAGAGTCAGTGCTTGGTTTGTAAGCATAAGTGATAAAAACGTTACAGCTGGTAGTTTTACAGTCAGCTGGTAAGCGAAAACAACCTACAGATTTACCGCATTGTAGTTGTGAAATCTAAAAAGCAACAACAATAACAAAATATTATACGATAACTTTAAAATTTTCTTTAGGTACGTAGTTTAGTTTAGTATTATCAAAATAGTTTTATCATTAAACTCTTATTAAAAAACTATTTATGAAGTCTTTAAGGTTCCTAAGAACTTACCATAAATTTGTTCAGGATAAAATTAAAAACTTACTTCGTCTGCACAATTCGTATATTGAAAAATAGATGCGAAAAGTAAAGCAACAGCCAAAACATTCATTATTAATAGATAATGACTGTAATTAATTTTAACCAACTATAAGTTTATTATTGTAATAATAATATAATAACATATATATATATATATATATATATATATATATATATATATATATATATATATATATATATATATATATATATATATATATATATATATATATATATATATATATATATATATATATATATATATATATATATATATATATATATATATATATATATATATATTACTTCAAACCAAATTGAATCCAAATTTCTGATTTAACACAAAATTTCAAATCATAATATTTTTAACAAATGTTATTACTTTTACCAAAGACTTAAAGCTATAAAAATTTTAATGAACTCCATAAAGTTTAATTTATAAAGAAAATTAAAATAACCGCTAATTATCAAGTTAATCGTTAATTAATCGTAAAATTAACTTTAATAAATGCTAAACCAACTTTAATAATTAAAATGCAGCTTTTGCGTCACATAATGTTTTTTTAAAATAAAAATGACCAAATAGTAATTAGCAGAAGCAATTAAGTAATTATTGTATTATTTTTAAGAACTATTTTTTTACATAAACGTACATTAAGTACATACATTATATACCTACATTACATACATACATTACATACTTACATTACATACATACATACATACATTACATACATACATACATTACATACATACATTACATACATACATTACATACATACATACATTACATACATACATACATACATTAAATACATACATACATACATACATACATACATACATACATACATACATACATACATACATACATACATACATACATACATACATACATACATACATACATACATACATACATACATACATACATACATACATACAAACATACATACATACATACATACATATATGCAGTGGCAGCCCTTTTTTTATGTCATTAATCAAAGATTTTTGTTTTCAAAGTTTCTCTTTTATACAGCGCGGCTTAATGGTAAGACACCCCAAAAAGATTTATAAAAGTCTACTATACATTTGTATTTAAAAACTAATTTTTATTGTAAATGAAAGCAAAGAGTTTACAACACTAAGCAACATTTTAACAAATTTATTTTTAATGTAACTCGCATTTTATAAGAAAAAAACTTTTTTTCAGTGCGACATAATTATAAGACAATTTTACAAAAAACTTTTTTTTGCAAACCGCAGTTGTGGACAATTAGGAATATTTATTTGATGCAAACACCAGAGACGATTATTTAACTGTAAACTTTTGTGAACTGTTAAAAATTTAGTTTGAGTTTTTTTATTAACAAATTAATTATCCATGGGTCGTGCTGCATCGTTGAGTGCAGATGAGAAAAAAGTATCCTCTCTAACTTATCGAATATGGGTTACTCCGTTAGTTACAGGCTATTAGACGCAGCCAAAATGTGATTAAAATATACGTAAATAGTCCTCATATGTATGGAATAAAAAGATTCCCCGACGTCCATCAACATTAAGTGACCGTGATAGACGAAGGTTGTTGAGACAAGCTTCAAGTTCTTTATTAACTGCACGTCAAGTTGCTGCAGAAGCAGATGTGATTGCTAATTTACGTACAGTTCAGCAAGTTATTCATAGTGCTTTTCACCTTTCGCGCACAAAAATTTAAGACTTCAAGTATCTGTCATAGGTAGTGAAAATTTTGTTTTTCAGCAAGATAATGCTAGAGTTTATACAGTTAATATAGTAAAAATATTTCCACAGCAGTAAAATTGAAACATTGAAGTGGCCAACTAAGATCTCCAGACATAAACATTATTGCGAATGCTTGGGCACAACTGTTACGTATATTGTTTGAAGGTGGTAGACAATATAGTTCACTAACTGACTTGAAATCAACCATCGCATCTGCATGGGATGCAATTGACATTTCGTACATAAAATAGTTGTACCTTCTAGAATGATTGAAGTGATTCAAAAAAATGGAAGTAACCACTAATAATTGTTTAAAGTTGAAACGTCTTTTTATTTAAATGACAATTTATATAAATTTTTTACAAAAGCGTCATATAATTTTGTCGTACTAACCCCCCCCCAGCTTATATATATATATATATATATATATATATATATATATATATATATATATATATATATATATATATATATATATATATATATATATATATATATCAAGGTAATTATACTAGATTATTACTTTTATTATACTATTATTTATTATACTATCAGTTATACTAATTATAAATCAACATCAGTTAAAGTTTACTTTTGGCCAGAAAGAACCATTTACGAAATTTTATACTTCGTAACTTTCAATTTGAGGATTATACATGTTATATGTGTGTTTAACTTTTCTTAAGTCGGGAAACTATAATGTCGAAAAATTATTGCGATTGTTACACAAAAATAAAAATACCAGTCATGAGCACTCCCGGCAACTCATGAAAAAAATTGCTATGGCTAAAATAGGATTGTAACCCAATGGACACTGGACCTTAAAAATTGTAACTTTACATAGATAAAAATACATTACATACATAAAAATAAATTACATAAATAAAAAATACATCCTTTATATATATAAAATAAGAATATACTAATAAAATCTATAATATATTTACAAAACGTTGACAAGTTAAAAAATATAAGTATAAAACATTTATTATTGTAAACAAATAATGTTAGTTTAAAACATTTATAGCTTTGTAGATGTGGCTCCAAGAATTAAAATAATAGTTCGTTTGATAGTATATTCTTAAAATAATTTATGCTAGAAATCTCACGAAAGTGTAACAAAATTTAAATAATACAATTTTTTAAATTATTTCAACAGAATACTCAGGATACTTGGTTAGTATTTTTTGAATACTCTAGAAATTTCGGTTAGTATTTTTTGAACCAACAGAATTAGTTGTTCGTAGATTTGGCGGGGTTTTAGTGTACGCGAATATTCTTTTTTTATTTTTCCGCACTAAGATGTATATATATATATATATATATATATATATATATATATATATATATATATATATATATATATATATATATATATATATATATATATATATATATATATATATATATATATATATATATATATATATATATATATATATATATATATATATATATATATATATATATATATATATATATATATATATATATGTATATATATATATATATATATGTCAGGTGTCAGGTCAGGTGTATGGTGTCAGGTCAGGAGTATGGTCTTCATGATCATCCTGCTACTGGTAACATGTAACCCAGTGCAACCTGTTCCATGTTCTGCTGCCTTGCAGGATTTGCTATCTAAGCAAAGGCTGGAAGGAGTGTTCTTCCTGTCATCAAAAAAAAAAAAAAAAAAATTACTATAGGCATGACTGATATAAGATAGTACATCTTATATCAGTCATGCCTATAGTAATTTTTTTTTTTTTTTTTTTTTTCCCATATAGTTGGAGGTGTCTTAGTTACTGTATTAGCTCACCTGTAATCTACGTTATATGTATGTTTGTGTTCTGTCTGAACCTCTGGCGCGGTGTTCGCTCACCCGTAAGTTACTTTATGTTCTTTATGTATGTCTGTGTTCTGTCTGAACCTCTGGCGCGGTGTTCGCTCACCCGTAAGTTACTTTATGTTTATGTTTATGTTTTTGATGTTTTTTTATGTATTTTTGTGTTCTGTTTGAACCTCTGGCGCGGTGTTCGCTCACCCGTAAGTTACTTTATCTTTATGTTTATGTTTATGTTTATGTTTTTGATGTTTTTTTATGTATGTTTGTGTTTTGTCTAAACCTCTGGCGCGGTGTTCGCTCACCCGTAAGTTACTTTATGTTTATGTTTATGTTTTTTATGTTTTTTTTATGTATGTTTGTGTTCTGTCTGAACCTCTGGCGCGGTGTTGACTCACCCGTAAGTTGAATTATGTTTGTTTGTGTTCTGTTTATACTCTAATGCAGCGTGAGCTCAGTAACTAACTACTTAATCCAACTACAAAACGTACACTCACCTTAGACTCCTGTATTTTGTTAGATGCAGTGTTTTTCCTTATGCACTTCCAAAATGTCATCCCTGGTTTTCTCAAAGTACTGTTGCGAGAAGTAGCTCCTTTTAACTACTCCAGGTCAGGTCAGGATAATCAAGATCAATCTTGCTACTGGTATCACGTAACCCAGTACCACCTGCCACAAGCCCTGCTGCCTTGCAGAGTGTGCTCTTCTTATGCAAAGGCTAGGAGAAATAAACTCCGACTAAAAATTCCCCTGCCTTGGGGCTCTTGGTTGAGTAAAGGCTAGAGATGGTGTCTCGATAAAAACACTCATCTTGGGCAGATGTTAACTGCATCCAGCTAAACATCCCCTGCCTTGGGGCTCTTGGTTGAGTAAAGGCTAGAGATGGTGTCTCGATAAAAATACTCATCTTGGGCAGATGTTAACTGCATCCTGCTACTGTCTTGTAGAAGGCCTCCTAGGCAAAGACTTTAGGGGTAAGCAGAAAAGTTCTGCTAACCAGCCTCGAACCCCTTCTTCATCTACTAGGCTGGCGTAGATGTAACCTGTGTTACATTGTTTCCTGCCTAGGATGATGAATGCTGGATCTCCTTGACTCTACTTATAGAATTTTGCTTATGCCTCCTTGATAATGGCTATGCAACTCTTCCTGTTATCTCCATATGAGGGTACAGCTCTAAAACTCAGTTTAATGGTTCTGAGGCCGGCTGGTAGTAAGGTTTCCCGAACTCTGTGGTAGCTCTCTCTCTCTCTCTGATTCCATCAACAGCTGCAAAATATCAGAGTATTAACAGTGCCATGTTGCGCATGGATGGTGTCCCTGTTAATGCTTTTGGTGTGCATTGTCAAGGTCACATAAGGAGCCCTATGTCACGGCTTAGGGTTAATTAACAGGACTGAGACAACTGCATAGCTCATTGATTAGGAGGCTGTGCTCTATCTATGAATGAGTCAAGTTCTCATTAAACCCAAATCATGACCAAAGTAACCAAAATTTTAAAACCTAAAAAACCATCCC